ACTATTAAGGATATTTGGTGTTAGGTTAAGAATTAAGTTAAGACTTTCAAGGCTATTGGGTTAGACCACAATTATATATTCTTTATATCGAAGACTAATTTAAATCTGGAGGCCATTTCATAACGGATATGCAAAACTTTTCGTTTTCATCCAATAAAATATTGTCTGAAGCAGTTATGCGAGTGTTTCTAATATTTTTTTTGAAATACCCTCAAAAGCGCATAAGATGCCATTTCGGAAAGTTCAATTTCAAACATTTTCGGGGAAGCATGCCCCCGGACACCCCTGGGAGTCTTGCGCCTTCGGCGATCGTTGAGAGTTGAGAGTTAAAAGACCCCTATACAAAATCTTGGCTACGGACATGCAAACATAGGCATAGCTAGAAAATGGGTGACCTAAACTTGTACTTACTCATTGGTCAAAGTGTGGTAAACGTGAAATCTGCACTGTCCTGTGTACTGTATCTCTATTTGTCCAACTCAATATTATCGTTGAAGGTGCTTTAAATGGAGATCAACACTTCGGTTCAATTTGTTATCTACAAAACGGAACACCCTTCTGCCAGTACATTGCCGATGAATAAATGAGTGAATGCTGGGGATTTGTCTTTAACATATACTGCTATCAGTCAGCACACGTAGACCTGATGCAATCTTTGCCCCTAGCTGCAAGTGGAGTCAAGAGAGTCAAGGACACTCGGGGTAGATGAGGTAACAACCGGTCTGTTGGTGGTTCATATATAAGATGTCGTGTATTTTATGTGTGAAAGGTAGCGTCAAAAAATTGTTTATACCCCAGTAAAATATATATCATTTTTTTTTCAAGTAATCAGTCCATGGGGTAAAGGTTTGGCGATTCCATACTATAGAGAGTCGCTGTTGCTGGCATTTTCTTAGGCTCGTAATAATTAAAATTATCGTAAATAAATTAATATACTATAATACTATAATCCCAAGCCATGTATATCTAAGTTACATTATACCATTTCTAATTGTATACTGGACAGGAGGTCTTGTTTAAAAGTCCATGCCTCAAACAAAAATTGACATTTGCGAGGAACCGCCAGCTGGTGGTAGTGCGTGAACCCTGACCCCACCTGAAAATGTTGGTGCATTTGTTAATAAAATTTATAGAACAATGTACGAGTGCAATAGTTCAGATACTTCACGACACAGAAGCCACCACCCGAGTGAGGGTCTATATCTGGGCAATTACACGGCTGCAAGTACATTATTCTGCATACAACACGGCAACCAGGACGATAACATAACATTGTAGATCCGCCCTATTGACCAGTCACATTTGAATTATCGGTTCGTTATCAGTGTTTACACTGTTGTGGACCTTGTTTCAATTGTTCAAATACAGTTACATACTAGGCTATCAAAGGTGAACAACTTACGTTGCCTAATCAGCTTATGAATATGCATTACTGCACCTTGAATGTGACACGGTACAAAATTCGACCACTAACATCGACTTATGAGATCAAAAGACAAGGTGTTTGCATTTGAACGTCCATTCGCGAATTCGTGGCCTAACATATGTTATATCAAAGAAAAATAGCACTCCAAAATACCAAAATAAGTTTTAAAATCATAATTTTATTTTAGTGCAAATCTTTTGCTCATCGTACGTTAAAATTACAAATGAAAAGACAGGCTTGGCAAATTGCAAGACGAAATATGTTAGTCTCTATTATATACACTGTATATATAAAATAGGTTTTAGAAATACAGTCCCTCACCCTTGGTTATTATCGCCTATTTTTGCATCCCTAATGTTGGTTTCTGGGCCGTCTCTAATAAATCTAATTTACTGAAGATTGGACGAAATCGGTCGTTTTTAGCCTTAACATATTTACTCCATTGTGAAAAAGAGTCGATTTTCAAAGACGCAGGTTGAATGTTTGGATCAGACGGTTCCTTTTGTTTCGAGTTCGTTGTGTGTCTGAATACGTTTTTTTCTAGTAAATACAGGACATATTGTACTCGAATATACCACTCGAAACAAATCAACAATCCTTTATTGGATTCTATATTCTCCCGTAGAGGTAGTCCTCGACTCTACAAAATGTTATAATGGTCATACCCCATAGTGGACGCGTCTTTCAGTCTAACAATGTTCGCAACAACATTCATCAGAACATTTGAAGATGAGATAAATAGAAACAAATACATGAAAACACATCACTTATGGCAATCGATAAAGATATAGCTGGTTTAAATATCTGTATTTAGTTTTCATATCAATGTAATAAATCTGAAATGGTGGTTCTTAATTTCTGTGTTAAAGTCATATCACTATTGTAGACGGCAACAGCCATAAAATTGTTATGGTTCTGTGGCTCTCTTGGTAACCGAAACTGAGTTTAATTTTTTTTTGTCTTTTAACAAATCTGGCATTTTCTTGGTCGCATTGACCAGCCAGACACTGACAAGTAAGAACACTGGCCTGGTCTAGAACAACACGGGACACGAGTATCACAGCTAGGTCTAGAAGATATAGATAGTGAATATAGATAGTAACTATACAGCATTAATCAACGAAATTCACATTGCCTTCTTCAATTTTCGGACAAACTGGCATTTTTGCATGAGAACAAGAAAAAAGACTGGCAAGTACACAAACAAGCCGATTATCGATCCGCGCCGCTCAAAACAAAAACAAACAACACGTTTTTGGATGTTGTCATAGTACGACTCGAACGTGAAGCTAACGTCGCTTTATAACGAAAACTGGCCCCGTATAGGACGTTCGCAATGAGTATCCATTTTTTTGAGTCGCTTCAATTTATTGCTATCGTTATTGTTATTGCATTCACACAAGTTGAAACTTTAACTAGATTTTGATAAGATGACACACTTCTTATTTCCGACCGTTTTGCAATTGTATTTGCTCGATTTTTTTTATTGAGCATGGCATATACAGTTCATTGAAAGTTCAAGGTTGCATTGGGATTGAGGCTGATACAGTGTAACAATATCTGCGTCAGTGGTCTCTCGCCAGAGCGCAAACTACCCCGAATAAAAAGCATGGTCATTTTAACACTGCTATTACATGACTGGTAGAAGTTAATACATTTGGCTTGAAGGTAAAGAAAAATCAGTTTTGGAGCTGTTGACATGGAAAAAATTGGCCAGGATTTCTTTTTTCCAGGTTTTACCACAATACTAGAGTGTTTGTGGCATGGAAAAAATGCTTTCGTTTGTCATGGTTATACGTTCTTTCACTAATATTTTTCGGGTATTAAAATTATCAAAATATCAAATGCAAGTACACATGCAAAGTAATCCCGATTTGTTAAAATGAGTCTAGATTTTGTGACACTATGTAATTGGTGGGGGAAATTGGGAAGCCAGTTATCAAAGACAATTAACAATTATATGAACATTAGTTGAACCATCTATTATTCATAATCATGGCTAATGCCAGATAATGTGTGTGGATATCTATGTTGTGTTTCAGATAGAGATTCTGGGTCTGGAGTTTTATTCTGTGATGCATTCATTAGAATGGAAAATATTGATAAGGACGCTTCGACTAACGGGTTGCGATTGGGAATGGTTGACTAATAAGCATACTATGAGGCCCAGAGCTCTGCTAGATGTCATTATCCCAATCAACCTCATTAATATGGTTATTGGCTGATAGATATAATACTAATATGAGGGATTCTCTGGAATTGCAGTGTATATTACAATCCCTAGGTATGTTAAACGCTGGGACATCTCTAACTAAGACTCGCCTATGTTGACTACAAACATCAATGACCTAAAGAATATCAGTGTACGTAGGTGTTTATATATAGTGTCTCCCTTGATTTATGGTGAAGAAACCAGTACAATGTTTAGGGATACCACGGTGTCCCATCTTAGAGCTGGACTACTATCGCTTTGTACATAATTGTGAACAACAGAGGTGCCAAAGCACAGACCGAACAAAAAAGTTGTATGCAACTTCTTGAAAACGTACTTCAACAGAAGTTAGCTCACTGGATACATTGGCACGTGTAAGTATGCATTCTTTAAGTCAGATACTGCATGGTAGCTTGTATACTAACCATTTTCAACGATTTTAGATTAGCAATGAAATACAACAGTAACATAAATACTATCACATGATCCTTTTGGCACTATAAACAAGTTCAGTTGTATTGTCTTCACTTCCACTTGTCATTTTTGGCCATTCTTTCTGAGGTAGTCGTGAGGGAAAAGATTATAATAACTATGCTCCTCTACTGACAGTGCAAAAGACCAGTAATTGTATCCCACCCAATGGAGATGAAACTGGCATGTCTTGCAAGAGTGGCAGTAATTTATGTGTATAATCAAGCAAGAAAACCTGCCCTGTGATATCTGCTTGGTGTTCATGATTGTGATTAAAATGAATGTGAGAATGTAAAATGGTATTTACTGAAATTGGTGGCCGGATCCCACAATGCTGTGGCAAGACTCTGTATTCCCGAATTGTTGGTACAAAGAGTGTCAGTGCTAAGTGTGATGCTTTCCGTTCGAAGCAATTGATATGGCGACCCTGAATCCAATGCAGGAGCCATATTCCACGAACTTGTTCGTTCATTAGGTGCGCTCCCCAACCTGTGAGGTAGGCATCAAAGTCGTAGCCGTGGCTAGTAGGTTCAAGGGCAAGGCATCACTCGCTTGGTCCGAGAGTTACATGCCTATCCAGTTCATGTAGGTAAAACCAGTGTGACCAGTGCCTTGCACTATGGGGGTGTGCAGTGTAGCTTGGGGAACTACCCTGCAAACTGACGTCATCATCCCAATGATGCACATCAGTTCTCAAAGAGAAACAGAGGAAACGCTGACTAGACGTTTGTCGTGACTGCTTATTGCTAGGCAATGAACATGCAATTGACACACCAAGCTTGCCACTGTGTCGAACTCCAGAAACACCAACTGACGTGTCAGGTGTGGATGGGACTTTTTTAGATTTACTGGAAAGCCTAATTGGTTAAGTAAATCCTGTGTTAGCCTTACCTGCTCAGCTGTAGCAACCAGTCGTCTAGGTATGGGTTGATGTGTACCGAGAACTGATGCAGCTGCACCACCACCTGTTTTAACACTCTGGTGAACATGTATGGAGCCGTGCATAACCCGAAGGGGAGCATACCGAATTTGAATACTTGGCCCAAATGAGCAAATCAAAGAAGTTGATGACTCGCTGGGTGCATAGATATGTGCAAGAAAGCATCGCTTAAGTCTAGCAAGGCTAATTGAAATAACACATGGAGAGTAAAACAGTGCTTAGTGTCTCCATGCGGAACCGATCGAGGAGCACATCCTGATTCAGTTTGCTTAGATCCAGAACTGGAGGTCAGGCACCTGTGGCTTTGGAACTACAAACTAGATGGATTTGACACAGAGATAACAGCAGAATTTTGTAACCATGTATCGCCACCTGGAGTGTCCAATGGTCGGTTACCCGCCGCTTCCTAGCCGGAATACACCAGTGCAATATGTGTACAACAGGGATATGTTGCCACATATCTGCTGAAGCGAGTGCAGTCATGGGTTTTAAGAGTTGAAAAGACCAGACCCTCCCCCCTCGCCGAACACTTGCCCTTCCCAAATGCTGCAAATAGAAGCATCTTGCTTCCCCGTGACCTTGAGATGATGAGGACCCACTGCCTATACCCTTCTTCCTCAGGGGGACTCTTCCCTCGCCAAGAGAATAAAGGCACTTGCCTGCTGACTGATTCTGGTCAGTGGATGCCGACTACCAAGTGGCCGTTGCACTTCCTTTGCTTGGGTTCCCATTTACCTGCCCTTGGCAGCAGCCAACTGGCTGACGTATTACACCTGTACAATCTGGTTGGCGGCTTTCCGAAGTTCTGAGACTGCACCCTAAATCTCCCCATCAAAGAAGAGGTCCAGTCTGTTTAACTGAGGCAGTGATGCACCCCATGACTCATAACGGCATCCAGCTACACAGAGGTGGCCCCTGCCAAGAGAGCCAGATGATACTGCAGGATATCATACATAACCATGCAATGTGACACTAACAATTGTGTCTGCTGGTCAAGGAGGCTGGTGCATTCCACCTCTGAGATTTTATAGTCCTGGAGATGCACAGTAATACGTTTCAGTGTGCAGGCCACAAAAAGTTAATGGGTCGAAACTCTCAGCACGTGGTGGACTGTTTCTGACTAAGATGCTGAGAAACTCGGCATTCCTCCATTGCCATCCTTCTTTACCCGTCCCACTGAACAAAAGTTCACTGTACCTGGGTTTGGGGAAAGAGGCGGGGGATTCGGACGGGCGTGGCGTTTGGCTACGGACTTTGCTGGTTTCGGTACCAGACACCGCACTGATCAGATAGCTTTTTCAGCAACCTGCCAGACCCGGGGAGCCACACAGTCGAAGTTGCTTTGGATCAAGCCGCTTGGGATCAAAGATGAGGGTGTGAAGATCAGGTTACCAGTGCCATGATTTCAACTGAGATGCCTGTATATTTCCCGGGTTGAACTATTACCAAATAATGACACAAATGTATCGGATAATATATTTTCATTTTATTTGTAGTACTTTAAATTAACCAATGAAATGGCCATAAATATATAAATGAATTTATACAACTCAAATATATAAATAAATTTGCACTACAAAGATATGCTTTAAATACAGAAAATAATATGGTCCACTTATCGAATAAATGTCAAGTATATTCCAGTAGCTGGTTCGAATTGCGAATGAGTCTTCGCCACGTGGCCAGTCTTTGTTGTTTAACGAAACTGGTAGAGCGAATATCCTTCATCTTCATATTGTGTAAAGTACATATAGGGGCTTCAGCCGGCACTGATGAGTTTCGCGGACCCGAGGAACGACTTGAAACAGAAGACACTTAAAGAAAAGCTTTAAAATCATAAAGGAAATAAGAGGGAAAGAAACGAAACTACTCACGTCGGCGTCAAAACCAATAGTGAGAGCAAAATCCAAGGCTTTTCTCATGCAAAGCATTGTGGACTTAAAAGCGCCACCAATGGTTCAAGCATATTTAACCAGACACATGGGAGGGCGCTATTACATTTTATTCTTTTTGTAATATTGTATATTTAATTTAAGCCACACATAAAACCCTCACCCATAAAAGGAAAGATGGAAATCTCTAACATTTTCAGCTTTTCATATTCAAATTCTTGCAATATACGAAATTTATAATATTCATAATAATAATAAATACAAGTGAGCTATGATCGGTGTATACCAGCACAGGATATAGTGTAAAGCACATATATACATGTTTTGAAGGCAATATCAAAGATAAACATTCTTTTCCAATTGCGGAATAGTTTTTCTGGTGCTTATAAAATTAGAGAAATAATAAAAAGGATGATCAATTTTGTCTTCACCAAATTGCATGAGAATACCACCACAACCTACATCACTAGAATCTACCATTAGTTTGAATTGTTTTTGGAAATCGGGCGTTATCAGTACAGGTGAACTCATTAGAATAGATTTCACTGCATGAAATGCATGTTCACACTGTTCTGACCAAACAAATTTTGCTTCCTTTCTAAGCAAATCAATTAACGAACACGTTAACTCAGATTATTAACGATAATAGCAACCCAATTCAAGATATCGCAATATCTCACGTCTATTAGTAAGTAAGCAGTAAGTAATTAAAAACTAAATGCAAATATCTATTCGCATGAAAAACAAATATTATGGTTAAATGCTGTTTTCTTACTATAAAAGGGTAAACCCGCCGAAAACGCGTCGAGTAAGTTCAGTAAATCAAAAACAAAATGGCGTCCGTAAAAAGATTCTCATCGGGGCAATAAAAAGTCTTCCTATTCAATTCCTGGCAGTGCCAAAGAATTTATACTACACGATGTCATTCTTGAACTACATTCAAAATATATGCTTGAAAACAAAAATAATGGCACGAAAATTCGAATGACAATGAATTGGCGAGAAAAGGTGAACGGAAAAAGTATACTTAAACTGTATATACTATAAAAAAACAAGTACAATAAACCGATCCACCAACTACAACTAAGTTTAAGCTATCTAATAAATGACAAAAAAACATCGATCTTTCTAAAACACACGACGAATAGAAGGAACCAACATATCAGTGTTGTTAGAATTGTTCCAAGTTGCGATCGCTGACAGAGTACCTCAAATGTAAGTGCGATATTCACGAATAATAATGTCAATATTTCACTATACACGGTAACTTTTTAAGAGACTATGCTTTGCGGAAAGCCATAGACAATAGACACCAGATGAGATTTCGTTCATATTAAACTCGCTTTTTACATACACACTTCAGCAGACTATCAAACATTAACCGGAATAATAAATGTATATTAACAGTCTTTATTATTCATAACATCGTAACTACGCAACTTTGATAAAACGCTGGATCGGCGTACGCAGTTCCCAAAGTAAAAAATCATTACGTCCGCATTCTACAAATATTCAAAGCTATAATTAGAGTAACAATGTGATTGTATATCGCCGTAATTCATTGAATCGTAACTACGCAACTTTGAAAGTTTGATAAAACGCGGTACACAGTTTCCAAAGTATAAAATATACGATTCCGTTAACTTGGACGCACTAGGACTAAAAACAAATTGGAATTACCTAACAAGACAGGAATTTCGTCACCCTGAACTTTGATTCAATTTCTATTAATTTTCCAAACACAGGCAGTTACATTTTCTAGTTGAATTTGCTCGTATTCGAACAGAAAAAATGACGTTTCCGGGAGACCTAATTAAAAGGTAAATAGGGAAATCGGCGGAGCTCCTTGGAACTCCCCAGACTCTCCGGAGCTCAGCGGGTACCGGGCCGGAAACCGCTGGTTTGATTTTGATCACCTCTCTAAATGATTTACAGAATGCAGAAATATTTTTGGCATGATCATTGAGTGGTATTTGCCAATAACCTTTCAGAAGATCAAATTTGCTTATAGATTTTACAGTGCCAATACTGTTAATGCAATCGTCAATTCTAGATACGGGATACCGCTCTCATAGTGGCCACAAGACAATAAGAACCGTCAGGCTTAGACACTAATAAACACGGAGAACTCCATTCACTATTACTATGTTCAATGATATAATTTTCAAGTATATATGTAATTCCATCTTTTCCATTTTCAAAGGATTCACTCTATATGAATGTTTCTTAATCGGTTTTGTGTCACCAACCTCAATGTCATGTGTGTCTTGGAACAATTGTTTTCACTTCATAACACTATTTATAATCAACTGTCGTTGTTCAGTTTAGTTTTATATCATATTCTCTATATCCAACCTCTTTGTGCCTATTAATTTCTTCTATAATTACTCCTGGTCTTCCATACAGGTTTAAAAAACCAACTGTCCTTACCACATCATTGGGTTTAATTTTACTATCATCGTCAACAGTTTTACGATCAATATAACCTTTATGCATATTAATATGATATAATTGCTTGTTTTTCCTGCTATCGGGTGTTTTAACAATATAATTTACATCACTATATTTGGTTTCAATTACATAAGGTTCATGATATCGGGCCTGAAGTGCATGTCCTGAATTGGAAATAGCACCAAAACTGATCACCTGGTTTAAATTCTTTAAACCTTGCATTTCTGTCTTACCAATATTTCATCTTGTTCCGTATTGTTTTGCAATTACAGTTGCCTTATCAACGTATGTTTGAAATTAGATATATAAGTAACATCATTCTGTTTGCTTAGCCACTTCACGTACAGTGTGCCCAAAAATAAACTCAAAGGGACTAGAACCTAAAGCATCCCTCACCACAAAAATAAGAAATGTATATCTTCATTCCAATCTCTCTGAAATTTCAAACAATGGGTTCTAATCATATTCTTTAATGTTTGATGGACCCTTTCCAAGCACCCTTGGGATTCTTGATGATATGCACTTGAAATAGACCTTTAGTGAAATTGAACCCCTGGTCTGATTGAATACATTTAGGAAATCCAAATAAGTAAAGAACTTTGCTGAAACTGTAATCATTGTTTTTGTTTTTATATTACGCATGGGTATTGCTGCTGGAAAGCGAGTGAATGCACACATAATTGTTAAAATATATTCATTAGCAGAAGAAGACCGGGGAAGAGGACCAACACGATTGATGATCACATGTGAATATGGTTCATCAAAGGCTGGGATAGGCTTCAAAGGAGCTGCTGATATCTTTGGTTAGGCTTGCCAACAATCTGACATACATGCATGAATTGCAGTATAAAAAACATCCCTTTTAAGTGTGGGCCACCAAAGTGTCTCAAAATACGTTCATGCGTTTTCTTAATTCCCAAATGACAGTACAGACAGACATAGTCGAGTATGCATCTCAACAAACTGGCACTGAACCAATAATGGCCACGACTCCGTGGGCCACTTTAAACTGGTAGCTATTTTTTTTTTAAAAAGAACAAAAAACAATTAACAACTTCATGTTCTTCAAACTTGGGTACAAGTCTCATACTCATAGTGAGGTCAAAATATGAAGCATCCTTAGTAATGCCCAGCCTATTAAGTTGTTTATGCTCCAATCTATAGTGCAATTCAAATGTTCTCATTTCAACTCATTTCTGCCATTTTTAGTTTTAGTACTGATATATCTGGTTTATGTGGAGTTTCATGTTCAAATTCAGTCTCCTCCTCCGTGAGAATCTCACTCAAAATGTCAATCTCAATTAAATTCTAGTTACTTTTTCCTTTATTTCCTGTTTTTCATGCCCTGTTTAACATTTATATATTTATACTGACCCAACGCAGGTAAATCATCTTTGCGTAGATCTGACTCTAACGCACTAATAATATGATAAATATACATCAATACCAATGTTATTTATCACCCAATTTATCGGCCTCCCTATGTTTCCCGGGTTGAACTATTACCAAATAATGACACAAATGTATCGGATAATATATTTTCATTCCAAACAGAAAACAAGAAATTAAGGAAACAAGAGGGAAAGAAATGACACTGCCCACGTCAACGTCAAAATCAAAAGTGAAAGCAAAAACCATGGCTTTCTTATGCAAAGCGCAAACAATGGTCCAAACCATATTAAACCAGACATATGGGAAAGCACTATTACATTTAATTTCTAAACCAAAATACATTTAAATATTTTTGTAATATTTTATATTTAATTTAACCCACACATAACACTAGGGGCGATGACTTCCCACATCACCCATATGGCGTGGTTCACAGATTCATTTCGGAGAACGGACTCTGAGGAGCTGCCCGAGGTTGTACCCACAGAATTAGACATCGCTGAATTTCCCCTTTACTTTAAGAAAGTGAACAAGGGTGTGTCAGAACCACTGATAGCCGCATTGGTTCTTCTGGGTATGCCTGCGAGTCCTTGAAGCAGGAGTGATGAGTAGAGGAGGCAGTGCTCTGGGAAAGGTCCCTGGAGCTGTCTCCGACTGACAATCCTTGGGGTGCAAGAGTGAAACGAAACCAACGTCCTGCCCTGCTCAATCCCGCTCTATATCGGAGGCCTGACCGCCAATCGCCGCCACCCCACCCCACCTGCTTCCCAATCTATTGGGAGGTCGGAGCTGGGATCAGAAGGATCCCGGGAGAAAGCAACCTTTGAATGCTTCCTGGTATGATTTTCCCATTCGCCGGCCGAGATGCATCTGCAGTGAAGGCAACCCGTTCCACTTGCAGCTTGTCTACCCCACCTGCAAAGGACGAACTTTGTCCTGGCAGGCCGACATTAGGGACCTGCAACAGGGCCATAAGAGCAATAGGCTCCAGGGACTTGGCCTTGGCCCCATTCAATGGGGAGGTCAGAGCTGGGATCGGAGGGATCTCGGGAGGAAGCACCCTTTGAATGCGAAAGTTGCTTCCTGGTGTGATTTTCCTGTTCCCCAACTGAGATGCGTCTTCAGTGAAGGCAAACCGGTCCACTTGCAGCTAGTTTATCCGACCTGCAAGGGACAGGCCCTCAACATTAGCACGATTCTTGGAGGCAAACCTGGTAACCGGGGAGGAAGCATCCACAAAGGGACCTGCAACAGGCCCCATAGGAGCAATAGGCGCCAGGGGCACGGTCTTGTCGTGGACAGCATGATCGGGCAGACTTTGCCTGCAATAGCAGGCTGCAACAATGTTCTCTGGTCAGCGGGATGGGTAATTGAACGCAGTGAATTGTTATATATTTACCAAAAAGACATGTTTCTATAGAAAAAAATCGAAGCTAAAATCGATCGATTTTATTTATTTTTTAGATTATTTATTAGAGACGCCCAGGGAATCAACATTTGTGACAAAAAATAGCCAAGAAAGTGTGGGAATGTATTGTAACAATCATATTCACTTCGTTAAATTACTCATCATGGACTCCGGTCAATCAAACTGACTATTTTGAACTGTTGGCAATTCAGCCAATGACGGATAGAGAAATGTAGTTCCATGACCTCATAGATTTTCTTCCACGTCACGTAACACATGACCAAGATCAAGCGCCATCTGCCTGATGTTCAATCTCTGTTTTCTCCACATCAAGTGTGCATCGTAGCAAAACAGTGCGGTTCAGTCAGCAATTTTTCAGAGTTTTTTGAGGTACTGCTGTGACCATTGGTGACGCATTTTACCACTTTTGTAGTGCTTCATTGTGTCAGTTTCAACTGTAATTTTGTTTCACTCATGCATACTTTTTTAGTGTAGTTGGAATGGACAAGAAGAAAGGAAAGCACTCCAAGAAGAGCACCTCACCTTCCGGGTTGTCACCCAAAAATTCGACTTGGTCTTGCAGAATTGCTATCAGGTTCTCCCAGCTTGAAACCCCCATAGAAAATGTCACCTTGGTTTAGAATGCGTTCAGAGTTCAGGGTTTTGCAACAAGGGAGTGTGCTCTAATTTGGATCAGAGTTCGGGGTTTTGCCACAAGGGAGTGTGCTCTGATTGTTGCCAGAACTTGGGCCAGTCACACAGTCGGTTTGGGTGGCCCTGTGGGCGTAAGTGAGAGGACTGTGTTAGTATTAGCACTACTCCCCTGAGACCCCGTGAACCACGCTGTGGGGGTGATGCAGTAAGTCATTGGTCCTATTGATGTTCATACCTCATGCTCGATCTTGAAGTAGTCACTCTCAGTAGCGTCGTGGGTTCAGAGATTCCAGACAGTGGATTCCAAGGCAACACTGACTGCATGGCTATCCTGGTCCGGCAGAATGCTGAATGTGGTGGAGGGCGCACAGACGATGAGACATGCAGGGTGGGGTAACCTTATGACTTATAACACTTTCCGCTGGACCAAGAAATATTCAATCAGTGCAATGTCAGGTACCGGGGACAGCAGAATCTGGAACCAAACCTCACGCCTCGGTCGGATCTCTCTGTTCCTTCTCCAACCCAGGTACCATAAACTGTTTTCGGCAGGATGGGTATAGGGGGTGGCAGATTTGCGACCAATTAACTTTACGAGTTTCTGGTCAGCACAAACGTATTACTCTGCATCTCCAGGACTCTGAAGTCTCAGAGGCAGAATGCATCAGCCTCCTACACCAGCAGACACAGTTGTTAACGAGACATTGCTGTTCACAGGGTAGTTCTCCAGCTGCACTGCGCAGCCACCCGGCACGGGGCAACGCACTTTGTTGCAACATCGATCTCACCTGGAACTGGAGAGGAGAGCAACTCTGGTGGACCAAGAAGGGGATGCCTTTCCCTGGTGGACGGTAGATACCAACCAGTGCACTTGGTACTGATACACTTTCTACCCATAGTTCAGGGCCACAGATTCACACAAACAACACAGCAGCGGTCTCCTACATCAACAAGGAAGTCCTCATCGCTGTCAGCTCTGGAGATGCAAATTCTTCATTGGTGCCTGGAATGCTATGTGGAGCTAACTGCACACCACATTCCAGTGTATTCCAGTGTAGTCAAGTCAAGTGGACGCCCTTTCGCAGCAACTTCTGTTTCCAGAACACGAAGTGGCAGGTATCCTAATGGGTAGCTTCCAGACTGTGGGACGGTCCCAAGATAGACATATTTGACACACCCTGGAATGCCAAACTCCTGACATATGTGAAACTCCTGCCGACTCCAGAGCATGGGCTATGGATGCATTATCGATCCTGTGAACCCACATGGATGCATACAGGAGGAGCAAACATGCATCTTGACGCAGGTGGCGCCCAACTGGCTAATCAGGATCTGGTTTCCACTACTGTTGGAAATGTTGGTTGAGACACCGGTAGTGCTTCTGGATATCTCTGACATCTACCAATGAGCCCAGCAGTGTACCATTTACATGCCTGGAGGCTCTCAGTAGGCTCGCACAGATGGAAGGTTTATCATGGTCAGGGTGAATAGGGGTCCACCAATGCAGCCTACAACTCCATGTGGCGGGCATACATTGATTGGTTTAGTGGGAGGGAGATTGATACACGCCACCCCACTATTGGCCAGGTAGCCGATTTTTTCGTCCATATGTTTGACGAGTTAGGTTTATCATATGTAGCAATCGTTGGCTACAGGTCAGCCTTGTCACCCATCATTGAGAACACTTTGGTACAAGAATGGCCGATTGTCATATTATTGGGAGACTGCTCTTCATAATCAGAGGCCTAGGCCCCAATCCAGGAAACCATCCAATAGGGACTTGTCGGTTGTTTTGTTATCTCTCAGCGGACCACCATTTGAACTGCTGGAATTAGCATCCCTAAAATATTTGAAATATTTGTCTACTAGCTCTCTTCTTTAGTAGATGTCATTCTGAGTTAGGGGCCCTGTCCTTCTCGGTCGGTTGTGCTGCCTTTATGGACAATCAAGCTGTGCTAAAGACATAATCGAGTTTCTCGCCAAGAACTAAATCCCAGGGGGATGTTCCACAGCCGATCATCATCATCACCCGATGTTGGCCCGGAGGAGTTGCCTCTATGCCACGTTTGAGCTTTGAGTTGCTATGAGAGATGTACTCGGGAGTCGAGGCAGGGCAGCAAGCACATGTTTATGTGTTATGGCCAGGGTAACAGGATAGATAATCCCCCAACTTCCATTTCTAGGTGGATCACTTCGACAGTGTTTGAGGTTTGTGACTCATTGGCGTCCTCAGCCGGGACGACCACAGGGATCCCTGCGCATAGGTGATATAGCAGTCGCAGCTACAGATTTGTGCAGAGAAGTTTCTTCCATCAGCACTCCTTGGACATATCCAGGTCTCACTTTTGGCCTATGCTCTCATGCAGTACTATTTCGTCCCTTTCTTTTTTGGAATGCTAGTTACGCCCAAAATTGGGTTTGGGTCTAGCGTTCTCGGGAAATGCCGATCCAGTCACCCTATCAGCATTATGCTTTTACTATGGGGACGACATTGCCAAGGTAAGCCACCGTTTTTCACTGATCTTAGATAGGTGATAGTCATTAGTAAAATTTGTCCAGGGACCTTTCATTTCATGTAACACCTTTATTTTCTGTTTTGCTCGGAAACGCCACCTTTCGGCGTCTGACTCAGTTCATAATAATCATTTTGACTGATCGGAGTCTGTGATGGGTATAAACTGTGTGAATAAGTTGGTTGAAAAGCCTCTGCCTAAATTATATATATAGCGTATATAATAAGAGATAGCATATTTTGTCTTTATTTGTAATTTGCTGAGGCCTTGTAACTCGTTTTATATCACAGTCACTTTACAACTAGGTCATTTTGAATTTATTATAATGTTAATTATTAATACCATGGTGTAAAATAACCTGTTCTCTTTTGAATAATTGATTGTTTTTCTTGCCATGAAAGAAAAATGCAGACAAAAGAGAGTGCAAAGGCAAAATAAAGTGCCACATATTATTTACAATACTTTTGGCCTCTACGTTTGTTTTTTTGGCAGAAAATTATCTGTACGATTGCACCATATCAGTGACATATTCAGATTGTACATAGATGGCTTGTGGCGGTGCACCAAAACGTTACTCATGTGTTAAAGATCTTTTCTGTCGTTATATAATTCCACCAAATAACCAATTTCAAGTGACGGTACTAGGAACAGGACCACGAATTCGTTGGTTGCAAATTCGCAAATGGACCTTGTTTTTACTTCACCAGAAAGTCGATGTTAGTGGTCTAATTTTGTACCGTGTCACCACCTTCAATGTTCAGTTATGCATATTCATAAGCTGACTATGCAGCGTAACTTGTCTACCTGCAATACCCTAGTATGCAAGTGTATGTGAGCAGTATAAACACTGATAACTAAACGATAATTCGAAAGTGATTGATCAGTACAGACTCCAGGTGCGGTTAAAATGGGCGGGTCCAGAATGTATTTGTTTCGCCTCGTTTAGCGTAAAAAATAAAAAATAAACAAACAAAATAAACAAAAAATATTCAAATCATTAGATGGAGGGGTTCGTATAAGCCCATTGGACAATTCCAGAAGCCTTACTTACACACGAATTGGTGACGTCACAAAATACATGCCCTTCAATCGGGGCCGTTACTTCGTTATATACGAATTGGTATATACAAATTACAATAAAGATACATACCAATGAGATGGAACAAATCAAGTGTCAATAAAATAATAACGGTAATAAATCCTAGCTTGTTAAGCAGAACCACAATGACGTGACACGCACGCGAGGAAGACATCATTGAACACTCACAAAATCACAATAACACGGGTAGTGGTCGCATATTACGGCGTGGCAAACACAGGAAATGAAAAACCGCCTAATACAAACGCAACGGGTTCGAATCGCATTAGATGCACACTCGCCGGAGCCTAAGCAGTAGTTTTTGTCCCGTGCCATCGAGGTAAAACAAAATTAGCTTGAAAAAGCATCTCGTATCTGAGGCCTACTCAGAGCTACCGTGAAATCAAACTATAAAATGTAGACAAAAAAGTCACGAGAAATAATAAACTCACAAAACGCTAGCATGCAAAACTGAAAAAAAATAATATAATAGCAATTTGTTCAGTTATCTAATAAACCCAAGGTAAGTTTTGCTAGGTAATGTAATGGTGGTAATTAATTTGTACTCGCAAATACAATATTTGCATTGATTCCCTCGATTAACAACTTGGAAATCTGAAAAATAAGTTTACCACGGGTATTTTACTCGCAAATACATGGCCAATATTTGCATTAATTCTCTCGATTAACAACTTGGAAATCTGAAAAATATGTTTACCACCACTTGTTTAATTATTTGACATTCCAAGTTACTATCAGACAGTACACCAGAGTATGGTTACTGAAGTACAATTATTTCTATTGGAAGATAAATCACAATATCAACAGGAACATGTTGGTATTAGAGTTAAGGTCGGGTCAGATCAGGTCAACGCAAATGGCAAATACCAAATTGGTTCATATCCAAGATGTACACTAAAGGGTTATGGTATACATAAAGTTTGCACGAGTAGAAAACGCCAAATTGGCAGTATTGCTGACAATTGTGATTAAATTGAAATGTAGAGTATCTTTATATACATATACATTGTATGCTCTTATCAAATGCACAGTTAAGCAGTCAATCTTTCATGGTCGTGTGGGTCACTTGTCTGATTATTGATCAGCAGGGCCTGGATTTAAATACCATATTTGCCCTCTTTTCTTACAAACACTGCAATAAAGATAAGTATTCCAACAAATTGTTAATTTGTGTGACTACCCACATGGTTCAGTGGATCTATACACTGTCAGTAATATGAGAAATCTATATTTTATATATGTTATTGATAACAGTTAACTTATAAATATAACTTAAATCCAATTAGACGTACAGAAGACATAAAAACAGTGTCCTGGAAACTAAGATTGCAAGTTGAAATCACGGACTGGTCGCTCCGACAAAATATATGTTAAAGACAAATACAGCAAAAAGCTTTAGTATATCAAGAACACAACTCCACACATAATAACGCAATTTAACAAAAGTAAATACTACCTCTAATAGAAGTCAGTCAAAGTCACATGTGTCATACCTCAAACATCAAGAACTCACAACTACTAATTGTCCAACGGTACGCGACTAGACAATAAATATAAATATGATGGATGCACATATTAACCCACATAATCAGAAATGTGCATATAATAACTCCGGTATTCCCGATGTATTCAGTTCATTACAAACTAAGGCCAAGCATTTAGAACATCCTACGAATATATTATCTTTACACCAGACTACGGTTTGGTTATACAACAACGAACTCCAATTCGGTTATTCTAATAATGGCTTCAGAAAACATCACCAAACCACATCAATTACTATATAAATTACACTCGATGTTGCCCAATACGCTAATGCAATCATATTAGAATATTTTAATTCAATAGCAATATTATAATTATTCAGAATGCTTGCCCCTTAAAATAGTTGATCAGTTCAATATGCTGTTCTACAAATACAAATCATATTCATAGGGAGTTGATACAAATACAAATATGTACGCAAACACTTTAGTTCAGTTAGCAAAAAAGGTCAGTTCCATAAGAAATACCTTTGGCCACAGTAACCTAGCAATGTACAATAACGCTGGAGTCACGTACTTGAGACGATGACGTTCACACTGTGTGGTTCTGTAGCCTGAGGTTTGAGGTAATCAGTCGGTTATATTCACAAGGTTCTTTAGCTAAAGGGCTGCAGTAGTCAGTCGACGAACACGCACGTAATTGCTGAACTAAGTGAAAAACGGTTCAGCAGGCGGTCAGCATTGATAACGTACGGCCAGACGTAACAGTGTTGAAAAAGATGCAGTGAATTGGCATTAAATTGTCCCACACGCCACGTGGTGGCGCCAGAGCTCTGAAACACCTGCCGACTACTCGAGGTATTGTAATGAATGACCACGAATTCAGCTGTGACGAACCTTTATAGAAAACGTATTGAGCGTCTACCTAGTTTAATGTTAAATGTGTTCGCATTCTCAAAAAAACAAAACTAAATAGCACTCAAAAAACACGGAAATACGGCACGAGAATAATTGCTGCAATCAAAATGCGTCCTTCTGATTGAGTTGCCCCCCCCAAAAATATTATATCGCCCCTTTTAAAATTGTATCAAACAACCAATTAACGAATATACTCATATACTGTCACGTCTTGCATAAATTAGCATAATTTTTAAAAGGTTTTCATGCAAATGTTTGAGGAGAGTCAGTGTTTTTCATGCATAGACATTCAAAAAAAACTCCTCTGCCAAGTTCACATCTAATTAATGTAACTTAGTTATAAATGTATTGGGATTCTGTCAAATGTATATTATATTAAACATTTGTTTACGATAAATGTAACTATTACGAGCGTGCAGAGTGACAAAGTGCTATAATAGCGACTCTACGACATGGACTCGCCAAACCTTTGCCCCATGGACTACGATTACTTGAAAACGGGGTTGATGCTATTTTTTTACTGGGGTGGTAGTACTTGGGTGGTAGAATTTGTCAACCTCGCGCTCATATAATACACCACGTATATATTAGCAACGAACTGATTGTCACATGTCTAATCGTCCGACCCTGTCACACCCCAATGTCCTTGACTCCATTGTTCTGTACATTTATTTATTTATTAAGGACAGGTACCTAAACTTATACGATCTGCAACTGAGGCGACAATTGAATCCGATCTATGAGTGCTGATTGAGTATCTTTCAAAGGTAAACCCCCTGTTATTCTCTCATTTATTCCTCGACCAGCATCGTACTGGCAGAACGTTGTTCTTATTTTTACATAGCAAATGGAACTGAGTTCCGCATTGGATCAGTAGTGTTATTGTTGGTCTCCATTTAAAACACTCTCAACGATTCAGTCGGAAAAGTAGAGATACAATACGCAAGGCAGTACAACTTTCACGTCGTTTACCACACTTAAGCCCATGAGTAAGTTAAAGTTCAGGTCACTCTTCTTCTAGCTTTGAGACTTGAGGAACGTCACTGAACCTGAAAAATGCACACGAAGACGAATAAAGCTCCACTAAACAACTTTAGTAGAATGGAGCGGAATATTCTAATCATGTGTAAACAGTAAGGTAATGTCATTTACGAGGGCTGAATACACTGTTTATTTACAGGAATGCAGCGCAATTTATGACGAGTGTAATGTTTTATAATTTATGCAGAAATGAAACATATCCCGTGCCGTCAACCAACGCCCTACACATTAATATACACCAAGATGCCCTAATTGGGAAGTTTAGTTTGTTAAAAAGTATTAGCACTGAGAGCAATGAGGTTAGATCAGAGGTTAGAGGTGAATAGCTGGTATACATGTACAACTACCGGGTATGTGGATCCGTTCATATAACGTCTAAATGAGTTACATTTTATTATTTCTCTAGAGCTTTCAATAATGTCTGAGACAGTTGGCTATCGTGGATTACGTCATTCTTGGTCTTATGTTGTTGGTATCGGTTGCTATAGGCATTTACCACGGATGTACGGGGAATAAACAACGGACTACTCAGACGTACCTAGTTGCTGACCGAAAAATGAATTTTATTCCTGTTGGTGTTTCTATCATGGCAAGCACTACGTCGGCAATCGCTTTACTGGGTACCGTCGCTGAAATATATATGTATACTACAATGTTTGTGTGGATATTTGTAGCTTTTCTGATAATGATACCTTGTTCTGCACACCTTTATCTGCCAGTGTTTTATAACTTGGGAATAACTAGTATATACGAGGTAAAATGCTATGCCTTTTGATCTATGACAATACATTTAAATGCCCCCTTCGGGTGGTATATTGTTTTCCTGCCAAATTTTTCTATAATTGCTTGTATAATTTCGGCCCAAATATAGATAACTTCATATCGGATACAACCTTTGATAAACGTTTTGGAACAATACAATATGAATGATGAGTTGTAAACGGTGACAAAATGTTATGTTGTGTTCATATAGGTTAGTGTAAGTTAGTGTATGAAACAGTGCCATCTTTGTGTTGATAATATTAAATAATTATTCACAACACCAGTTTTCATAAATTAAACACATGACATTATAACCCTGTATGAAAGTAAAATATCATATAACGTCTGTGGTGCTTTAAATTATATATCATTGTGAAAAGGGATGACCTTCGTCAAAACGAACTATCGCTCCGCTTGCAAAGCTTTTTATAGTCAGTTAAAGTAGAGATGCAGTTTATCTGACGAATATTTTAATTAGTTAATTAGGCAACCAAGATGACCTCCATTGTTCACAAAACTATATATTTTCGGAAAGCTTATTGTATGAATTTAAAGAAAAATAAGTATATTTAACACTGTATGTGGACACTGTAGTTTGAAATATGGACAGAAATGTGTGTTTTTTTGGTCAAAAGTAATTTTAAAAAAGAATAGCTTCTAAACCATGTCTCTGTTTCCTGTCAAAATTGGTTTACAGGTACATCTGTTTACTATGAAGAAAGTGCCGTCTTGAAAACTGTCTACTAGTTGTCAATTTTGCTGGGCAGCAGCTAAAATTTAACTAATTTAAATACATTAACACCCATGCTAATTGTCTGTACGATTGTTGTAACACTGTTCAACCAAAAACAATGCTCCGACGGTTTTTTGAAGATAAACACATTGTCAATCATTTGTGAAAATTTCAAAAGAAAAGGTCAAAGCGTCTAGGAGCTATTTTATTTAAAAGTTCTGGGATGTGCACTAAAAAGAAGCTGAGATAATTGCTAATTTGCATATTTTATAATTAAGTAACAATATATGCTGATTTACATCGACATTGGATTTAACGGAGTTCCACTAATGATTTTAATTTCAAATTTTTACAGAATATAGATGTTCATACAATGCCATAAAAAAATTAAAAAAAGCGAAATTTGCAAAATAAACTGCATCTCTATCTTAATTTGTTAATATACATATAATTAATTAACTCTTATACATTCTAATACATGCACCACGTACTGTTGAATACACAGTGAATAAACATGTTCATTCGTACATATAGGAACAGAAAGTGATACACTGTATATACTGTAGTCTATGAATGTCTTATATTAATTATTGGTATTAGTACAATAATAGTATGCTAGTAGCGACTCAGGTCCCGATTCCAGACACGTATTTTGCCATGTGCCTAATCAGTGCTAACTGTAAAATATGTTGAAGGTACAATATTTTAATCACAATTACCATGCAAAAATGTTAATTCTAGCTTTACGTATTCATAAATTTAACACTTTTGGTTCGAGTGGCCGATCTTTTTTGCTGACACTAATAATAACATAATATACATATGGTCATCTATAATAGTGGTCTCATTTGTACTATGTGCCTATTTACACCTCATTTCATAAATCAAGCTGTCTTCAATATAACGACAGAGTAATGTATACTAAAATAAACTGATATCGTGACAATAACACATCTGTACATGTATTTTAATACATACGAGACTAATATTATACGCAATGAATATAATACAATTCCAAAACATAAATATCGTTAAATTATTCTCTTAATGTATTCATTCTTGTACCTGTCTGCAGTTTATGATCAGGAATTAACGCTGAATATTCGTTTACTCTGTATAAACTATGCACTGAGTATTGGTATTTTGGTTGGTATGTATCACCATACGAATATACCACTTATACTGCAGGAAATTAATTTTATAAACATATATAAACCACTTTTGTCGCAGAACAATGTAGCGGAACAATTGTTCTGTTTAATTAAAATACATTGCGTACTATATTAAATACATGCTTAACTGTGAAATCCGTAAAAACATGCACATAGCATATGCTACATCAATAAACACAACCGAATCAAACATAGAAATCGAATAATTCTCTATTCATTTCCTTTTTCAGTACTTGGAATTACGTTTCTCTAAACCAACACGAATAATCTGTACATTGATATACATTATATACAAGGTAAGACAGACATGGGTTTACAAGACACCAATACAAATGCAAGAAATGATGCAGTGTTACAACTATTGTGACAACTGCATTGATAAGTGTCATTGTCGCATACGACTTATTTATTTACCTCTTCCGTGTCACTGAGAATGTTCTAGAACCGTACTGTGTCTGGGTGGAATATTCTATATTTTTTAGAAA